TTGGCTAAGAAAATCCCCACAGACGGCACCAAACTATTTGACCCAAAATTTTGATCTAGGTTTAAACAATCAAATTTCCTAATATAATAGAGTTAATCTTAGCCAATATTAATATCCAAAAGATAGATTAGCCGATTTTGTAGTGGGATGTCACAGATACTATTTGAGTAGCGATAAATGGCAACAATAAAACTATATTCAATGATCCAAGAATAAAGAAGGTAGCATTAAATAGCAGTAAATAATGATGAATGACACTTATGTAAATAAATGCATGTGAGTTACCCGAAAAGAGTGAGATTCTTGATATTCTTTCTAACAAAGATAGATGATGATAAGCCTTTGAATATTCATATCCTCCTTGGATCGTGGGGGAAAAGATAGATAAAGATCTAAAGAAAAGGTGTATTTTGTATATGTATGATAAAGTAAGAATCTTCAGAGAATGTCAATGTATTATTCTTTACAATGAGTTTCCAATCCCCTATACAATTACCGCTCTTTCTATTTATAAGGACACATGGGTCAAAAAACCCAAAATTGTACAACTGGGAGGAATATTCCCTGGAATATTATCTAGCCGCCCTATTTCTAAAACTTAGCCGTTACTACTTTACTGAAGGGAATACTCGTCCTCATCTTTGTCCTCTGTTGAGTCAACTCGCGCCTTCGTCCTTTCTTAGGACACCTCGACCTCGCCTTCATCCTCTGTTAAAACCAAATCGATGACGCGTGGCGGCCTTCGAAGGCTTTCTCAATGTTGACTCGGCCCACATATAATTATGATAATTTTTAGCCCATAAATGGGCACTTTGAATTTCTAGTGATGTCTTTTGGGCTAATGAATGCTCATGCAGCTTTCATGGACCTTATGAATCGAGCCTTCATGCCTTTCATCGACTCGTTTGTAATAGTATTCATTGACGATATCCTTGCGTTTTCATGAAGTTGAGAGGACCTTATCGATCATCTCCGAGCGGTTTTACAGACTCTGTATCAACACAAGTTGTATGCGAAGTTTTCAAAATGTGAGTTTTGACTCGATTCTGTCGCTTTGTTAGGTCATATTGTCTCTAGTGAGGGAATCAAGGTTGATCCTCAGAAGATTGCAGCAGTGAAGAATTGGCCTAGACCTAGAACTCTGACAAAGATTTGCAATCTCTTGGGCTTAGCTAGGTACTATAGGAGGTTTGTGGAGGGGTTCTCTTCTCTTTCCTCCTCGTTAACCAAGCTAACACAAAAGACAACCAAATTCCAATGGTCAGATGCTTGTGAAAGGAGCTGTCAATAGCTAAAGTCAAGGTTGACTATGGCACAAGTGTTGACCTTACCGGAAGGTACAGATGGTTTCGTCGTATATTGTGATGCTTCAATAGCTGGACTCAGGTGTGTATTAATACAACATGGCAAGGTGGTTGTGTATGATTCAAGGCAACTCAAATTGTCCATGAGTTTGTAGATGAAAAGCTGTGCCGAGCTTCACCTGAGTCCCAAGACCTCTCTGAAATGACCTCCAGAAATGTGCTGTAAACTGGGCCCCACAATCAAATATAATAGATACTGGTACTCCGTGTAGTCGTACTATCTCCTTAATATATAACTTCGCATAATCTTCGGTTGTATATGTAGATCTGACAGTAGGAAATGGGCTAATTTCGTGAGCCTATCGACTATCACCTATATAGAATCAAACTTACGATGAGAACGAGGCTAACCTGTGACAAAGTCTATGTTTATCGCCTCCCATGTCCACGTCGGGATCTCTATAATCTGCATTACCCCTCCGGGCTTCTGGTGCTCTACCTTCACCTGCTAGCAACTAGGACACTGGGTGACAAACTCAGCAATGTTCTTCTTCATATCGTTCCACCAGTACCCATCCTTAATGTCATGATACATCTTCGTCAACCTAGGATGAATGGAGTACCACGAATAATGTGCCCCTGACATATCCTGTCCCGTAGCCTTGCTAAATCTGGAACACACAGATGACCCCTGTATCAGAGAACCCCATCTCCCTTGAGCTCTAACAACGTCTTCTTCTGCTGTGGAACTCGCTCTCTCAACTCGACCAACTCTGGGTCCTCGCAGTACCTTTCTTTGACTTTAACTATGAGAGATGATTTTGCAGTGTTTTGGAGTATAACTCCACCATTGTCAGAATCTACTAATCGAACCCCCAAACAAGCCAATTGTTGAATATCTCTAGCTAATTGTCTTTTCTCAGCCTCTACATGTGCTAAGCTACCTATAGATCGGCGGCTTAAGGCATCTGCTACAACATTAGCTTTCCCTAGATGGTAGAGAATGTGAACATCGTAACATTTCAATAACTCTAGCCATCGCCTCTGTCGCGCCTCTTTCGCAAATTCAATTCTTTTTGCTTGAAGATATATTGCAGGCTTTTATGATCTGTAAATACATCAACATGAATACCATATAAATAATACCGCCATATCTTAACTGCATGGATAACCACAGCTAACTCGAGGTCGTGGGTCGGATAATTCCTATCATGCTTCCTCATCTGCCTTGAAGCATACGCAATTACATTCCTATGTTACATCAGACACATCCTAACCCAACACCTGAGGCATCAGAATAGACGGCATAACCCTATGGACCCTCTAGAAGTGTTAGAACTGGCGCTGAGGTCAACCTATTCTTAAGCTCCTTGAAACTCTGCTCACAAGTGTCTGTCCACTGAAACTTAGTTGCTTTCTGAGTCAGCTTCGTCAATGGTGACGAAAGGGAAGAAAAACCCTCTACAAACCTCCAGCAGTATCCTACTAAGCCTAGAAAGCTAGGAACCTCTGTCAGAGTGGTAGGTTGATGACGTCCAAATCCACTACTAGAAAGAAAATGGACACGTTCGCATGCAATATAATTTACCCAACTATGAGTCGGGGTCAAATCCCACAGAGAATAATATGTAGGCGAATAGGCGTGTAAGAGAATTATCACTTGTTATGCAATGCCAAACACTTAAAATAGTTTTTGAGAAAATATTTATAACTAAATGCGAAAATGTAAACTAACCTAGAAAGCAAGTAAAATGATCAATGGCTACAAGCATGGACACACGGGGAATTACACTCAAGTAACGATCCAATGTATTTCACGATTTTACAAATATGAGCGAGTTTATGTTAATTGGCCTCGAGTAATAAATCTATATTAGCTTCTTCCAAAGACTAACAAGACTTCCTAATTGAATTATCCCTAAAAAATGAAGAGATTAAGCACACCCGATTATGGCTACAAGTAGTTCAATCCTATCCCAAGGTAGAATCTTTAAAATGAGGGTTAAAGCCTCAAGTTCTTGTTAATTAATCCTTCCTAACCCCAAATAATCTTTTCCAAAATTAATTCGAAATTAATGGGCAAGTCTTGGGGTTAGCTAATCCCTTTGGAAACACTAAAGAACAAGAATAGTTAAAGAAACAATAACTCACTTCATAATAAATGAAAATCGTTCAATACATAAGCACAACAAGATATTTAATCCACACTTTAAACATGAATATTCCCATAAACAAGATTCAAGTGTTAAAATAAATACTATACACTTAGATATACAATACAAAGCAAGAAATGAAGAAATGAACATAAATGGCTAAGAAATTCTCAACCAAAAGCTTCAAATCTTCAAGACCCAAGTGTGTGTGCAAGAACCCTAGATCCAAAACTTGTTTCTCTCTAGTCTAAGGACTGAAAATAAGCCAAAGATATGTTTTCCATCAGCTAGGTCGTGTATTTGTGGGTTTGGAATGGAGCAGATGTGAATTTCCAAGTCTGCCCAGGTCTGAAGCTTGTTGGCCGCACCTGCGGAAGGATCCTCGTAGGTGCGGTTTCGCAGATACAGATAGCCTATCGCAGAAGCGATCATTGAAGGGAAACTTTGACTCCGTAGAAGCGGACATGCATGCGTAGATGCGCAATCACAGATGCTTATTTTATGCGCAGATGCGCTACCGCAGAAGCGGTTCTTCTCTCACAGATACGGTCCCAGGGAAGGAAGCTTAATTTCGCAGATGCGGCCTTCCACCTCGCAGATGCGTGGTCGCATATGCGGACAGTGTTCCGCAGATGCGAAGTCACTGAAGGATTTTTCACTTTTGTACCTTTTTTTGCTCAATTCTACTTCAATTGAATTCAACTCTCTTTATGGCATTATTTACTGAAAATCTAGCAATACACACCATAAACAACCTGATATTATAATTAAAGGACGCAAAATCTCAAGAAAAGATAGTAAAATATATGGTAAAATCACCACTCATCATAGGTCTAGGCCAGGATTTCACGGCCTCAATCTTCTAAGTGTCTACCTTTATACCTTCATCGAATACAATATGCCCCAAGAATGCTACAGACTTCAACCAGAACACACATTTAGAAAACTTAGCATACAACTTACGATCACGGAGGGTTTGGAGTACCGCTCACAAGTGGTCCGCATGCTCGTCCTCTAAACGTGAATAAACCAGAATATCATCAATAAATACTATCACGAACAGATCTAAAAATTGTCGAAATAGGCTATTCATCAAGTCCATAAATACGGCGACTGCATTTGTCAACCCGAAGGACATCACAAGGAACTCGAAGTAGCCATATCTGGTCCTGAAGGCTATCTTCGAAATATCTTTCTCTCAAACTCTTACCTGGTGGTACCTCGACATCAAATCTATCTTTGAAAAACATCTAGACACCTGCAACTGATCAAAAAAGTCATTGATCCTTGGAAGTGGATACTTATTCTTAATAGTTATCTTGTTCAGCTGCCTATAATAAATACACATTCTCAACGAGCCATTTTTCCTCTGCACAAACAGTATCGGTGCACCCCAGGGTGAGGTACTGGTCCTGATGAAACCTTTCTCCAGCAAATCTTTTAACTGCTCCATCAACTCCTTCAATTCGGCAGGTGACATTCTATACGGAGGGATGGATATTGGTTGAGTTCCCGGAAGAAAATCGATGCTAAAATGAATCTCTCACTCTGGAGGAATACCTGGAAGCTCATCTGGAAACACATCTGCGTACTCTTTGACTGCTGTAATAGACTGAAGTGTAGGTATCTAAGCATCTAGATCTCTAACTCACACAATATGATAAATGCACCCTTTTGCGATCATTTTCCTTGTCTTCGGATAGGAAATAAACCTACATATGGGTGTCGCTTTATTACCTACCCATTCAAGGACTGGCTCACCCAAAAATTGAAATCTAGCTGCCTTTGCTCAGCAATCAACTATGGCATAGCAAGCTGCCAACCAGTTCATGCCCATGATAACATCAAAATCCATCATCTCTAGCTCAACTAGGTCAGCTGAGGTCTGACGATTACTAACTATCACCGTACAACCTCGATAAACCAATCTAGCAATTATTCATTCTCTGACCGGTGTAGATACCGCTAAAGGATCACTTATTATTTCAGGCACTATACCAAACTTCCCCGCGACAAATGGGGTAATATACGATAAAGTAGATCCTGGGTCTATCAAGGCATAAGCATCGTGAGAGCATATGGTCAATATACCTGTCGCAATGTCTGGTGAAGACTCCTGGTCCTGTCAACCCGCTAAAGCATAGATACGGTTTTGGTTACCACCTGAACTGGAACCTCTACCTCTGCCTCGATATCTACTAGCCGAAGACTGAGACTCGCGCCTTGAAAGATGCAGAGACAGAGATGATCTTGTTGCTGAACTCGCTGGTTATAACATACCCCCAGAATCTCTATTTGGGCAATCTCGCATCATATGCCCCAGATGCCCACATGCATAACAAGCATCGGAACCTGCTCGACATTGGCCCAAGTGTCCTGTACCACATATGTCACACCGCGGCAGAAACGACTATGTCTTCCCTGAACCTCGCTGTCGCTGCAAACCCGACGCCCATGAGCTCTCACCTGGTCCTGACTGAGTATAGCGGTCATACCTGTAACCCTGTAACTGAGGTGATGGAGGCCTAGGTGGTCGTCCAAAGTATTGGAGCCTATAACTTCCCTGAGACTGCTCTTGAGACCTGGAAATCTCATCCTCTTACACTGACCTTGCTCAGTCCTCTATGTACCCTATTGCCGACGCCTACCCCTTTCTATATTCTAGGCGAATGCCTAAATCTAGGAGATATCCATACTATCCTACAATGCAGCAGTGGCACATGCCTCGGTCAACTCTGGGGCCAACCCTGCTATAGACCTGTGGATCCTGTCCCGCATAGCAGAAACTATGGATGGAGCATATCTGGCCAATTAGTAAAAACTGAGACTATACTCTCGAACACTTATATTGACCTACTTGAGGGCTAGAAATTGATCGACTCGAGCCTGTCGGATCTCCCGTGATATGTACTGGTCAAGGAAGGCATCTGAAAATTTTCCCAAGTAGTTGTAGGTGCATCACGTCCCCTGGACCTCTCCCATCCCTCGTACCAAAGGATGGCTATATCTCGGAGTCAAAAAGGTGCTAGCTCAAATGCCTCTTTCTCCATTGCATACATAACCCGAAAGATCCTGTGAAGCTGATTTATTAAATCCTACGGGTCCTCCCTCTGATCTGTCCCTGTGAACTCTGGGGGACTCAAAGCAACAAACTCTCGGACCCTTGAACTCCTAGACCCCTCAGAAGACCCTGCACTAGCTGATGCCCTGGCCTGTTGCTGGGTAGCTACCAACTGTGTCAATAAATGCACCGCACTCCTCAAGTCTTGATCTGATAGAAGTGGAGGGGGAACTGGATGTGCGGTAACCCTAGAAATATCCTCAGGTGGTGGAGGAGCCGGTAATGGCTGAGTAGGGGTCTCGCCCTAGCCTCAGATTGGTCCCCATCTACTAGGGGTACCCTGCTGTTCCCCTCACTTTCTGTTGTATCTCTCCTCTGGCTAGCCATAGTCTTCCTAGTCACTGTCATCTGTGTATGCAAACACCAACACGTAAGTTAACTCAAATTTCCTATAACTCAGTTTTATAGCATGATTTATATTTGAATGAAGGGTAACCAACTCCTAAATGCCCTTTAGTTCCCTGCTTATATAATGTGGTGCACAACACATCTATAAACAAGACCTATTATCACGTCCCGAACCTGGGGCGAGACCGGCACCCGGTGCCTCACTTAACCTAGCTTACCAACTTACAACTGAGAGACTCTGAATATTCAATGTTATACTTTGTCCATGGGGCCACATTGCAAGAAAATTTGCGAATCAAAATATAAAATTGAATGGAAACTAGCTTTGACTAAACCTCAGTATAAAGCTAGGCCGACAAGGTTGTCATAACTACTACAGCTGAGAAACCAACAAAATACACATACAAGGCCTAAAAGCCCAACATACTGCACTAACTAACATGATATGTCTACAAGCCTCTCCTGATGGATGTACTGCGGTCCAAACAGGGCCCCGACGTACCCTTAATTTATATACATATATACATAATATGTACTCAAAACCCTAGACCCGGGAACTCCAAAGAATGCGGAGCTTACCGATCAAGCTGATTATGGACAACACCTACGGAGGAGTTCTACCAGGCTGTCTATCTGAACTTGAAAGCATGAAATGCAACATCCCCTAGAATAGGACGTCAGTACAAAATAATGTACCGAGCATGTAAGCCAAAAGAATAACTGAAAGCTGAAACTAAACTAATAATATATTAACTGAAAGTAACTCGGAGTCAAAGATGATCTGGAGATATACTTACCTGCTGATACTCACTCAACTCTCTCAGTATAGTAAGTAAAATAGTTGTTCGGCCCTATAAGGCTCGGAACGTGTGACTGCTCTACCGTAGTAGTCTCGCTCATAGGCGCTCGACCATACTAGGCTCTGTATCTCGGCCATTCTGCGCTCGCTCATAGGCACTGGCCACAGTTGGCTCGGTATATAACCTACCATTTGATGAGAGGTTGTCCAATAGGGGCCTGTCCATCGATTATAGCTCGATGGTGGTGAAAATACTGTAATGCTGTATATATATATAGACCCTCTGCTCTTTTAGAAGAAGACAATACTTAGCTGAATATAAAGTCTCGATAAGGGAGATTACTATAACTTATGAGACTAGGATAATGTACATAAGTTCAGGAATACGAACTTCTCGTTATGTCTCGTTATGAAACTCATGTAGTTATGTGATCATCATGCCAAAATGAAGGAAAGGTGTAGCCTTAAAATACCTTATCACAATCTTTTCAATCACCAAGTTGAACTCGTCTCTTCGCACTCTATAACAGTTATAATAATACTATCATTAAGTTACGAAAGGTACAACTATCGCACAACGAACGACAAGCTTATTTTGTATTAAAATGGGCAGCATCTCCCCTATAATCTTTACTTCCTCCAAATTTAAGATAACACCAACAACAAAATAACACAACAATAACAACATATATACATTATTTTACAACCTTATATACACCACAAAATACAACAAAACAGCCCAACATACTCCAACCTCTTCATACACAAAATGACCAACGTAGTAGTGTCAAACAACCCGAAAATGTTACGACGAAAGACCAAACCACCACCTTGAATTTATGTGGTGTTTCCACATACCCTTTCTCCTCAAAAATTCCATAAAACAGTACAAAAACACCCACTCCAACCGCAACACAAAACTATCCGCAAAACAGTCTGCTACAAGTGAATAACTCGAACGCACGACTTTCGACACCGTCCTGTGAGTTCTTACAATTATAGAACGACTTTCCATACATCTCCAGCAGAAAATATGTATGAACGAGAGCAGTAAACTTACCTTATTTGTTGAATAACTCAGCTCCTATCTTGGTTCTTCAAACTCTAGGTTTTACCTCCAACTAGAACTTGAAAGGAGAGAAAATCAATTAGGGTTTGTGGGCAATTTTTGGGAGGATGTTTGCAGGGGTTTAGGTCTGGTTATTGTTACCTATTATTAGTGTATTATATGAAGGAAATAGTCCTTTAAAAGTTCTCTTTGGACGGCCCAAACTGGACCATTTTTGGACATATATAATCCTCTCATTTAAGCAAGTAGGTGACACCTACTTGTCACCTAGCAGTTCGTGCAGTCTTGCAAAAATACATATATCTCTCTACTCCTTTATCTTATTGACAAATAGTTTAATGTGTTAGAAAATAGACTCATATATCTTCAATTTGATGGGTGGAACACCCCGTAACTCTAAGTATTGGGAGAAAATCGCAGTTACATTTGACCCGAATTTCAGTAAAACTTATTAATGTAACATGTGATGACTTTCATCGACTTTTGTGCCATAACTCGCTTGACCTCAAAACTTAACACATGACTATCATAAAACTAACATAAATCATAGCATAACCCTCTTATTATGTTAAGAACACTAGTCTCAACCAAAGGTACGGGTTATAACATTCCAAACTTGTTGACTTTCGACGAGACATTATTTTCTTCAATTCCTTTAGCATCTGAACCTTCCAACCCTCTTTGTACTTTTTGTTCATGATCTTCAGTATTTGTAACCTCCGAGGTAGCATGATAACTTACTTCATATACTTTCAAAGATGATCTCATTTTTTGTCTTGCATTAGTTTGCTTATGACGCACTTTTACATACGAAAATATGGGGTATAGCAAAAAATTCAGAAAATGATTCCAAGAACACAAGTTCTATAGCCTTGACAATATCCAAAAAACAATGATTTTGATTAATTGAAGAAATCAAATGCCTTTACTTAAAAATTAATCAAAACAATAGATTCGGATCTTGTCCACTTAACGAGTAACTTGAGACAACAACTAACAACTAGTATTAATCGCCTTCTAAGAATACCACAAATGAATCAATGATATCACATTAAAGAAGTTATCTTACTACCTTGAACTATGAACTAGTAAATGATATCACAATAAAGAAGTTATCTTACTACCTTGAACTATGAACTAGTAAATGTTGAAAGATAAATCTCAAAGCATAAGTAAAAAAGGTTCAAGCAAACTCTCAAAGTATAATATTATTAATCAACAATGGAGTACCATAATGAATGAAAAGAAATCCTATTCATAGGAGCAAATAGTCCTTAAAACTAGGTAGGGTGTCTACTAAGGCATAAACAAAACCCTAAAAGATTATTCTAGAATCTTAAAATAAAACCCTAACTTTGTAACAACCTGGCATTTTGAGTGTTGTATCCCTGTTCCCCCATTTATTGCCTATTCTGTATTTGTTTGTTGTTATGTAACTTTTCGGGGTGGTTGGTTTGGTTTCGGGGATGTTTTGGAATGAGTTGGGATACTTAGTCCCAAGGTTGGAAACCTAAGTTGAAAGAGTTGACTGGATGTTGACTTTTGAGTAAATGGATTCAGAATGAGTATTGATTGTTCTGATAGCTCCATATGGAGATTTTGGACTTAGAATCATGTCCGTATATTGATTTGGAGGTCCTTAGATGATTTTGGCTTGAATTGGCAAATGTTGGAAAAATAGAAGTTTGATCGAGAGTTGAATTTATTGTTACTGGGTTAGGATTTTGGTTCCGGAAGTTGGAATAGGTCTGTTGTGTCATTTATGATACCTGTGCAAACTTGAGGTCAATCAGAGTTGATTTGATAGGTTTCGGCATCGATTATAGAAGTTGGAAATTCATTAGTTTCATTATGCTTGAATTGGGGTGAGATTCGTGTTTTTGATATTGTTTGATGTGATTTGAGACCTCGAATAATTTTGTATCGTGTCTTTGGACTTGTTGGTATGTTTGATTGAGGTTTTAGGGGCCTTAGGTGGTTTTCGGATGGTTAATGGATAGAAATTTGACTTGAAGAGTTGCTGATGCCTGTGCTTCTGGTTTCCTTATATGCATTGCGAGTGGAGGATCGCAATCACGAACAATATTTTGGGCAGCTGGGATTTTTGTGCTATGTGTTCGCATGAAGGAGTTCGCGATCGTGTAGCAGGGGGGGAGGGGCGTTCGTGAAGGAAGAAGAGGACGCCTGGACTCCACGTGTTGTTCATTACGATTGCGTAAGGCTGTCCGCGATCGTGTAGCTGAGGGATAATTGGTGACCACGTTTGCGATATGGTCTATGCGTTCGCGTAGAAGGCTTTTGGGCTACTAAAAATTTTGTTCTTCGTGATTGCGAAGGAAATTCCGCGATCGCGATGTGTAATCCCTGGATAGAATATAAGTTTTCAAAATGAGGGTTTGAGTTATATTTCATAATTTGATTTTGGGAGCTCGGATTGAGCCAATTCTTGGAGGGATTTTCAAGGGATTGATTGGAATAAGTGATTCTGTCATGATCCAAAACGACAGGTCATGACAGGCACCCGGTGCCTTACTCAACCGAGTACCAACGCAACATATCTTTCTTATCATACTATCATTGGTAACTGGGCCAACATGGCCACAACTCGTAATGTATATCTATAAGTGGGAAAGCACTGTATCAATGAATCATCTTTCTTAAAACATGAATACATATGGGCCTTCAAGGCCTCTGACATACTGTACAAAATGAACCTCTGTCTACAAAGCCTCTAAGAGTATTTTACATCAAATGGGATAGGGCATCGGCCTACCCATAAGTCTATAAAAAAATTCTGACACGATGACTCATAGACTCGGCGGCACTCCGAATGAGGTGGAATCTTACCGATCCTTTGCTGAATGTTAACCTCGTCTACTATGAGGGCTCGTCAAACTGATTGTCTATACTTGCATGCATGAATGCAGTATCCCCAACAAAAGGACGTCAGTACGAATAATGTACTGAGTATCTAAGGCACATAAATAAGTATATAAAAGACATGGAAGAAACACGGAGTAAATGATTCAATTTGTAAATCTGGATAACTCTATAAATCATGAAATACTTATATTGTCATGCATATGCGTATGAATGTCATGTCGTGCATAGGTACATGTGTTCATATTATCA